GAATGACGATGGGCCTAAACTAAAGTCTGATTTGGGAGGCAGACAGAGATATTATAAACCTACCTGTCTCAGGGAGGAAGGAGCCCTCTTATCACCATTGTAGCCTCCAGTCTATGCAAAGTAGATGAAATTTAATGATATTCTTTGTGGTCTTTGGTAGTCAAGCAGTCAGTGTTCCTATGGCTTACCTTACCTCTTTCAAAAGGATACTCTGGTATCCTGTTAAAAGGACTATCACTGCAGCCTGAAGGCGAGACAGGGAGACCAGATACCCTTCCAGTTGTTAGTTCTGAGGCAAGAGGATAGACGTTACAGATTAATGTATGTTTGCATCAGGCCTGGCCAAATGTCTGCTTTGAGTCCTTGGGTAGTAAGTCACCTGACCTTTCTCAGTGGCTCCAGTGGCATCAGTGTGACCTAGAACCTGAGGCTGGCACGATGGCTAAATGAGGTAATGTGTGGGAGGTGCCTATTGCAGTACCTTGTACGGGCAGGAGGGTGTGAGTTCTTGTCCCCTTCCATTCCCAAGTGGGAAGATCCAGTAGGATATCTTTAATAAGGTGGTAGGTGGGAGTCTGTTCAGAGTCCATAAGGTAGCATTTTGTTTAGTCTTATTTTAGAACCAGCATTAAGTTGACTGACGGCAGTCTTCCAGCTTGAAATTGGCTTTGGTATTTGTGCACTTGCAGGTATCTTTTCTGCTGCTGTATGAGACACAGATTTGGATCCAAGAGTAAAGATTGGTGGAGACTGAGGACCAGGCAGATGATTGTTATTTTCCAGCCCTCTTTGATGATGCACCTACCTCTTCCCAAGTGGTCCCCATCCCCGCCTCAAACTGTTCTTGTCCTTGACCCTGCTCGCTCCTCTTCCCTGCATTTTCAGGCCAGAGAGTATCTTGCCTTTCTTAACTGAGCACTGGAGTCTGAAGAGGCTAGTCTGAGGTCTGACTCTTGAACCTTCTTGCTGTGTGACATTGGACAAGTTGTTTGACGTCTCAGTTCTTGGTCTGGAAGATAGGCATGATAACTGCTATTATCCTGTGATCTCTGGGAATGCAGAGTTTACTTTAAGATTATGGGAGAATGTGCTTGAAAGCATTTGACATTCTAGAATATGCAAGAAGGGGCCCTTAGTCTCCTTTCCTTCTTGAGAGACCTTGGTGATTGCCTCAGTCCTTGGAACCCAAATATTTCCTGTTCTTGGGTTCCTTCTCCTCCACTATTTAAAAAAAAATGTTAATAACAGCTTTATTGAGATATAATTCACATATCATTCAATTCATCCATTTAAAGTGTATAATTCAGTGGTTTTTTAGTATATTCACAGAGTTATACAACCATTACCACAATCAATTTAGAACATTTCCATCATCCCGAAAAGAAACCCTGTACTCATTAGCAGTCACTTGCCATTCCCCCAGCTACCCACCCCCAGCCCTAGGCAACCACTAACCCACTTTCTGTCTCTTTAGATTTGCCTATTGCGGATATTTCATATAAATGGAATCAAACAATATGTGGTCTTTGGTGACTGGCTTCTTCCACTTAGCATAATCTTTTCAAGGTTCATTTATATTGTAGCATGTATCAATACTTGATTTATTTTTATTGCCAGACAGTATTCCATTGTATGGATATACTACATTTTATTTATCCATTTATTAATTGATGTACATTTGAGCGGTTTTGATGGGTTGATTACTAGGAACAATGTTGCTTTTTCATGTGCAGATTTTTGTGTGGACATGTTTTCATTTCTCTTGAGTATATACTTAGGGGCAGAACTGATGGGTCATACTCTGCGTTTAACCCTTTTGAGGAACTGCCTATTTTGTGAAGTGGCTGCCTCCATTTTACATTCCCATTAGCAGTGTATGATGTTCTAGTTGCTCCACATCCTCACCAACACTTCCTATTGTCCTTTTGATTATAGCTTTCCTAACAAGGATGAAGTGGTGGTATTTTATTGTGATTAGATTTACATTTCCCTGATGACTGATGATGTTAACCATATTTTCATGTGCTTATTGACAGTATGTCTATTTCCTTTGGAGAAATGTCTATCAGATCTGCTGTTCATCTTTTAATTGGATTATTTGTGTTTTTATTACTGAGTTGTAATAGTTCCTTATCTATTCTAGATTCAAGTCCCTCTCCTCAGCTTTTAAATATACAATTCCCCACTTGAGAGACACCCCCATGTGGCCTCTTAAGTTATTATTTTCATGTTCGTTCTGCAAAGAGTTGTCGAGTACTTACTGTGCACAAGTTCTTGTGCTGGAAGCTATGGAGAGAATCTGGCCAAGATGCACAGAGGCCCTGAACCCCGGAGCTTCCAGGCTGGTGCTGAAGATAGGCAGTGAACAAGTCATTGCACAGGCATTTAATTATAATGGTACTGATGTTCTCTGTAGGGACAGTGAGAGTATAACAGGGAGACCTGACCTAGTCTTGGAAATCAAGGCCCATTCTCCTGAGGAAGCACAATTGAGCTAAGTCCTAATGAATGATTTGGAGTTAGCAAGGGAAATGAGGGAGGGTGGAGAATGAACATTCTAGGCAGAAGAGTCAGCATATGTCAGGGTCCTGAGGTAGAAGGAATGTGGCATTTGAAGAACCAATCAGAGATCAGTGTGGTTGGAGAGTAGGGTGAAGTGGGATCTCAGGCTGCAGGTCACGCAGGACTTTGTAGGCTGTGCGATGGGCTTTGACCTCTGTCATAAGGGAACTGGGAAGCACTTAAAGTAGTTGTAAGCAGAAAAGAGGAAGAGTAGGTCTGCCTTATTGCTGCAACGTGGAGAGTGGATAAGAAAGGGCAAAAGTGAGCGTGCGGAGACCGCTCAGGAGTCTGTTGCCATGGCCTAGGTGAGAGCTGACAGTGTCTTGCAGTGTGGCGGTGGCAGTGCAGGATGAGAAGACCTGAAAGAATTGAGAGACAACAGGGGAGTTGGAATTATGGGACCTGAGGAATGAGGAAAGTGAGCGATGAGAATAAAGGGAAGTGTAAAAATGATTCCCAGGGTTCTGGATTGTATAGTAAGTGGATGGTCCTATGATTCACCAAGATAGAGACCGTTGAAGTGGCATAGATTTTCGGGTGGGGACACCAGGGGATGGAACCGAAGAGTTTTCAGAGGACTTTGGAGTGCCTGTGAGCCACCGCAGATGAAGATGTCTGGGATGGTAGGCAGGTCCGGAGTTCTGAGCCTGGGAGATGCATAGGGGGTTAGTGAACCACTAGCCACTGAAGGAAGGGGTGGTTCAGGTAGACTAGCAGGGGCGGGAGACAGATTGGCTTAGACTGAAGAATGGTTGGGAAGGAAGGCAATAAAAATGCTTCCCAGCAGATTGTGTTGGAAAAAGGACTGCCACATGTGGAACATCTGGATTGCCAGGGCCAGAGGGTGTTGAGGAGAAGCCTTGATGGTCAGAGGTAGGACGTGCCAAGATGCAAACTCTGGCTGGTGGATAAACATACATGTCTGGACGGGCAGTTTGAATCCCGTTTTATGAGGTTGGCATGAGAATGTTGACTGTGCAACCAAAGTGTGTATTCATTGTTGTATACGTGTGTGTTTTCAGGATGCTAAGAAGTCTCGCTTGCCAATCCTAGTAAAACCATCCCGGTCATTAGGAAATGTATATTATCTCCCTGCCACCCAGGAGGTGGTGGCCCAGCTGCAGGGCCAGATCTTGAAGCTGCAGGGGGAGCTGAAGGAGTTTAAAACTCGCAATGAGCAACTTCACCAAAAGTTAATTCTGGCTGAAGCAATGATGGAGGGGAGGCCAACGTCCAACACAACGTTGCTGAATGGTAAGCACCAAGAAAAATGTTTTCTCCACGAGCTAGACAAACGGCCCGATAGAACTGCTTGAAATGTCAACCTTGTTGTTTAGAATTGCAATAAGTTTGAGTATAAATTTCATGAATTGTGGTGATTAATCTTGACTGTCGACAAATGCACAACTGAGGGAACGCAACAAGGAAAATGAATCTGTTGCTTTCATTTTATTCTGGAGTCTGGATCAAGGGACTTGTAGTGCTCACAAGTCTTGTGCTGTCACTGCTGCTCTCACTTGGGGTTGTCTGCAGGTGCCCCAGGGGTGGGATGACTTGAATCTGGGCTTTTTTGCCTGGCTGCATCTGTGGAAGCCTCAGGCACGTGGCGTCAGGTATGCGAGTGAGAGTTCTCTTTGCAGGGTTCTCAGGGCTAATTACAAACCCTGCTGACTTGGTGCCTTCCTCTAGAAGTGACCTGCCTCACCACTCATGTTGAAGCTGCTGCCTCTGCTCTCCTGAGGGCCAAGACAATAGAGAATCCCTGGGTTAAAATGCATGTAAGTAGTTAGGATCCAGAGACTTTGGAGGAAGCACCTCTGGGAGTGTCCTCTAGTCTAGGACAGTGATGCTTAGAGATTTTGGACCACCAGTCCTTTGAGAATCTGAAGCAAGCTGAGGGCCCTCTCACAGAATAATGCTGGTGAGCTATACATGTAGCATTTTGCATAATTTTCTCAGGGTTCATGAATCCACAAAAGTACATATGTTGACCCTAATTTTGAACTTCTGCTGTACGCAAATGGCAGCATCACAATAACAAGGACAAAAACAGTAATCTTTTGTTTATTTAAAAAATATTTATTAATTTTCTCCTGTATGCCAAGCACTACTCTAGGCACTGGGGAGATAGGAGCTAACAAAACAGATGAAGTCTGTGTCTAGCTTACATCCTTGTCGCAACAGGGGTTGGTGGTGGTGGTAACAAGCTGATAAGCACATATGTAAAATATGTGAGAACAGAAGTGCCGTGGAGAAGAATGCAGCTGGTGAGAGTGTGGGGAGTGTGGAGTGGGGTGGGGTTTGCTGACGTTCATGAGTGGTAGAGCCTCTGATGGTGGCATCTGAACAGAACCAGGTGTTGAATAGGGGAAGTGAGTGCACTAGTCATCTTGGGAAGAAGGAACAAGGCGAAGGCCCTCGTGAACTTGGGAAGTTGGATGAATAGTAAGGAGGCCAGTTATGTATCTGAAGTGGAGTGAGAAAGCGGGAGAGTTGTCAAAGATGAGATCGAGGAGGGAGCAGGTCAGGCCAGCTCTCACAGGCCACTCTAGGACTTTGTCTTTCACTCTTAGTAAGATTGGAACTGTTGGAGGGTTCTGAGCGCCTGAGCAGTATGATCTGACTTAAGTCTTAAAGCAGGAGTTGACAAATGACAGCCTGTGGGCCAAATCCAGCTCAAGGCAAATAACGTTCTGTGGAAACAGCCACACCCATCATTTGCATATTGTCTATGTCTGCCATGATGGCAGAGTTGAGTAGTTGGCACAGAGACCCTAGGACCTGCAAAGCCTAAAATATTTATTATTTGACCTTTAAGAAAGGTAGTCTGACCTCTGCTTTAAAGGATCACTTTGGATGTGATCTGTTGGAAGGATGGAAAGACTGCAGGAGAGGCGAGTGTGGGGAGACGTTAGGTATTTGGTTTAGACTTATTTGGGCTGCCTATGGACCATCCCAGGAGAGACGTCAGGTAGGCAGTTGGAGATAGATCAGCCTGCAGTCAAGGGGAGAGGTCTGGGCTAGAGATACAAACTTAGGAAACAGCAACACGTTGCTAATATTTGAAGCCATATGACTGGGAACCATAGGGTGCAGGTCCAGGAATTGAAACTGGGGCTGTCTAGTGGTTAAAGGTTGGACTGAGAAGAGCAGCCTGTGAAGTAGGAGGGGAGCCAAGAGAGGATTACATTCCAGAAGCTGAATGAGGAATGGATTAGCTGTGTCAGTCGTTGCTAGTATGACAAAGAAGACAAGAACTAAGGATTGGGCTTGTTATTTAGCAAAGTGGAAGTCATTGGTGGCTTTCAAGGGAGCCGTGTCCATATAGTGGGCAGGGCTGATTGGCATGGGTTCCAGCGGGAGGATGGAGGAGATTGGTGACAGCAAGAACAGACAACTCTGAGGAACTGTACTATAAAGGCTCGTAGGGACGGAGGGTGGTTGGGAGCCAAACTGTCCATGAATCTCAAGGAATTCAATGAATCAGGACATGGACGACTGCAGTAAGGTGGGGTAGTCAGTGGTATAGTCTGGCAGCATGAGCCGCAGAGCTGGAGCTTTCAGGGAAGAGGGAGAATGATCTGGAAGTGGCAGTGAGGAGCAAAGGCACTTACACATTTCCAGGCTTGTGATGGGAAAGAAACATGGGAAAGAAATGGTCACGACCAGCAAGGTTGCCGGAGAAGCAGTGTCCTCGGGGGACAGCCTGGGTTCACTGAGAATGAGGGGGCGAGATGAATGTTCAGAGAGAACCGGGAAAGAGCATCAGAGTGGGGGATTTCAGAGTGGTTCAGGGATCTGAGATGACTCTGGACATGGACTTCCTGTGGTATTATTTATTTTTTTTAATAAAGTAAAATGTACATATGGAATTCACCATCTTTACCATTTTTAAGTGTATAGTTCAGTGGTAATAAATACATTTGTATTCTTTTATCCCCACCCCACTTCCTCACCTCCGATAACCACCAGAGTAGTCTCTGTCTGCATGAGATCCACTTTAGCTCCTACCTGTTGGTGAGAGCATGTGATAGTTGTCATTCTGTGCTCGGCTTATTTCATTTAACATAATGGCCTCCAGTTTCATCCATGTTGCTGCAAATGACAGGATTTCATTCTTTTTTATGGTCCAATAATATTCCATCATGTATGTATACCGCATTTTCTTTATCCATTCATCCATTGATGGACACTTAGGTCGATTCTGTATTTTGACTGCTGTGAACAGTGCTATAATCAAACTGGGAGTGCAGATATTTCTTTGATATGTTGGTTTCCTTTCTTTTGGATATATACCCAGTAGTGGAATTGCTGGATCATATGGTAGTTCTATTTTTAGTTTTTTTGCAGAATCTCCATACTATTTTCCATAGTGGCTGTACTAGTTTACATTCCCACCAAGAGTGTGCAAGGGGTCCCCTTTCTCCACAGTCACTAGCATCTGTTATTGTCTGTCTTTTTTTTTTTTTTGAGACAGAGTCTCGCTTTGTTGCCCGGGCTAGAATAAGTGCCGTGGCGTCAGCCTAGCTCACAGCAACCTCAAACTCCTGGGCTCAAGCGATCTTTCTGCCTCAGCCTCCCGGGTAGCTGGGACTACAGGCATGCGCCACCATGCCTGGCTAATTTTTTCCTATATATTTTTAGCTGTCCAATTAATTTCCTTCTATTTTTGGTAGAGACGAGGTCTCGCTCTTGCTCAGGCTGGTCTCGAACTCCTGAGCTCAAACAATCCGCCCGCCTCAGCCTCCCAGAGTGCTAGGATTACAGGCGTGAGCCACTGCGCCCGGCCTTGTCTGTCTTTTTGATACAAGCCATTTTAACTGGGATGAGATGGTATCTCACTGTGGTTTTGATTTGCATTTCTCTGATGATTAGTGATGTAGAGAAGTTTTTCATATACCTATTGGTCATTTGGTCTTTTTTTTTTTTTTCCTAGCCTTCTTGTTTCTCAGGTACGTATGTCTTCTCTTGAGAAACGTCTGTTCAGATCTTTTGCCCATTGTTATTATATATATATATACACACATATATATATATATATATGTAGGCTGTTGAGTTGTTTGAACTCCTTATGTATTCTGGTTATTAATCCCTTGTCAGATGGATAGTTTGTAGAAATATTCTCCCATTCTGTGGGTTGTCTCTTCACTTTGTTGATTGTTTCCTTTGCTGTGCAGAAGCTTTTTAGCTTGATGTCATGGTCCTCACTGTCTAGTTTTGCTTTTGTTGCCTGTACTTTTGAGGTCTTACACACAAAAAAAATATTTGTCCAGACCAATGTCCTGGAGCATTTCCCCAGTGTTTTCTTCTAGTAGTTTCATAGTATCAGGTCTTAGATTTTAAGTCTTTAATCCACTTTGATTTGATTTTTGTGTATGTTGAGAGTTAAGGGTCTAGTCTCATTCTTCTGCGTGTGGATATCCAGTTTTCTCCACACCACTTGTTGAAAAGATTCTCAGTTCCCCATTGTATGTTCTTGTCACCTTTGTTGAAGATGAGTTGGTTGTAAATGTGTGGATTTATTTCTGGGTTCTCTCTTCTGTCCCATTGGTCAGTGTGTCTGTTTTTATGCCAGTACCATGCTGTTTTGGTTACTATAGCTTTGTGGTAAATTTTGAGCACTTCCTGTGGTATAAATAAAATGAGCACCTATTATTTATTGAGTCCTTCTATACTCTTTAAATATGTGGTCTAATTGAATCCTCTCAACAGTCCTTTGAGGCAGGTGTAGTAATTTTCCCTGTCTTACAGTTGAGGCAGCAGTTTCAGAGATCAAGTGACTTGGTTACAGTCACACTGTTACCCACTTCCTGAGATAGATGTGAACCAGTCTGCCTGATTTCAAAGCCTGCATTCTTTACTATTTCATATAGCTTAGTATATGATACTTCTCATATGGATTTTATGATGCTCTATAGCCAGAGGTGTCTTCTATTTACTCTTAGGTTCTCTCTTGGGTTTAACATAGTTGAGGTTTCAAGATAAGTGGGCCTTTGGCAGAATTGCCTTCCCTCCCTCCCTCCTCCTGTTAATCCACTTATCCATCCATCCAGGCATATATTGATGCACTCAGTGAACATTCTTTGAGCACAAGCTGTGTTTGCAGCCCCATACACTGGGTTGGGTGTAGGAGAGAGATAACCAGAATATAGTCTCTGCCTTCTGAGAGCTCCCTGTCTAGTTGGGGCTTGGGGAGGTGGCAGGTAATTACATCAGTGTATGGTTGTGGATGCTTCAGAGAGGAAAGATTTTATGGCAAAGGTGACTCAGCCCAGCAAAGACCCTGGCACTGTGCCCAGGGCTTGCAATTTGTACTCAACATTGTTTTTATTTTTTGCTGAGACATTTGGGTTTCTCAACCAGGTGCTACTTCCACAGTTGCCCAGAAGACCCTGGGGCCTCTCTCTTGGGAAAGTGGGCACAAGTTGATAGAATTCATTTTCTCACTCAGCTTTTTGAGAGCCTGGACTTAAACCATTTCAGACAAGCTACAGTGTATTTATGCTTTTTATGTCCTGTTATGGCAGCTCGATAGATTAATTTTATCTTATAAATTGCATTTTGCCTCCCCAGTGTTTTTATTTTCCCTGTTGTATCTTTGTGTTCTTCTCAGTTGCTTGGCTAAGTTTCAAGTCCATGGTTTTATTTATTTTTCTTTCTCTTTGCGATTGCCTGTAGCTCAGCTTCTTGTGGGAGAAGCCTACCAGGACAGCCCAGAAGAGCATAAAGGAGTTAAAACCGCACCCTCTGTCTGGAGAGGCAAGGAAATGGACAATGATCAGCAAATAAGCTGCGAGATCGGTGAGAATTGAACCCCTATGAGTACTGAATAGCTACCATGTGCCAAGCACCATTTGGAATATTTTATGTAAAAATTATTACCAAGTCCGCAACAACAGTCTCAGGGCATCATTATCATTCCCGTCTAACACATGGGGAAACTGGGTTTTTAAAAATAATTGATCCAGGGTCACCCTGCTGGCAAGTAGGTAGAAGAGTCAGGTGTGGTAGGATGCCTGTTAGAACTTACCAGTCCATGTGTTAAAACACTTTTCTGCCAGGCCGTGGGCCGGGTTCTGGTGGTTCAGCATGAAAGGGACACTGTAACTCGGAGGAGACAGCCATCCCAACCGTCCATTCGTCTTCAGCATGGGGCCAGCTGTCGTGGAGGTGCACAGAGTTGGCCTCTGTGTGCCCGGGAAGAGTGGGGTCATAGGACAGCATGCAGCCGAGACCGGGTTCGTGGGGTTTGCCAGGAAGGTTAGTGCGAAAGGTGCAGAGATATAATGAGGTCACAGGGAAGTTGTATTTCTTTCTTTTTAAAATTATGAAGCATTATAAGCATACAGATAAGCACAAAGGATAATATGACAAATGCCTATGTTCTTCAACCAGAATGAACAAGTGCTTACACATCTTCATCTTGCCTTAGGTCTTTTTTTTCCTTTCCATTAAAAAAAAATCACTATTAATCTAGATCCGATTCACTCTGTAAGAAGTAATTATTATCCTCAGGAATCCTAAAGTTGTCATGGGATGGTCATGGGAACATCAGTCTCTAGAGAAATACTGAGTTAATGGGCCCTGTTCCCAGTGGTGTATACTTCCCCAAGGCCTAAAGTCACTGCAGTGAGTGAATACATGGTCCCATGCTTCTGAGTGTTCCAGGCTTTGAGGAGAAAGTTACTCTACCAGGCAATAGAGTACCCCTTAGCTGAATTATGGAAAGTTCTAGGATTACAGTATTTCTTATAATGCAAGTAAATGGTCCTGGGGACATCTTTTGATTTCTTGTTCATAGTGATTAATAAAGACTTCTGGACTGACTGACAGTTTCCCTTTCCCTCTCAGTTCTCCCCTTCATTACTGAACGTCCTTCATTCTTCCCAATGTGCTTCAGAACTTTACACATGCTGTTGTGCATGAGCTTCCACCTCTAACTGTTGCTTGGCTGAAGCTGGATGCCGCGTGTGACATCTTCACTGCTTTTTCTTCTTCAGGAGCCCCTTGATGGATATTTTGGAAATGAATGAAGGGGATTGCACAAGTGTTATTGGCCTTCAGTTGAGGATCAAGAGCTTGGTCTCTCTGCTCACGCACCCCTGGTATAGGAGATCTTGATTATAGGAGAGTTATGGCAAGAGGCAGCATTCAGAGCATTAGGGGCAGGCCGCCAGGCTTCGATGAAGTTCCCTGCTGCTTACTCACCCTGAACCTTGGGCAAGTTCTTAAGCCTCTAATCCTCAACCACCTCTTCTGTACAATGAAGATGCTAGTGATGCCTCGTGATTACTTAAGGAAAGTCATCAGAACTAGTCTTTATTCCCATGAGTGATCATTGCTTCTTGCCATGAAGTACAGACCAAATTCCATTGTCATGAGGTTGTTATAGCAAAGCTATTTCCTTGTCTTAGAGGGCGATTAGGGTGATTCACTGGAACAAAGCCTTGTTGAGATCCCCACCCCTCCCATACTTTTTCAGCCGAAGTACTTACTGAGTACATTTTCTGTCCCAGGCCCTGTGTCAGACACTGGAGAAACAGACACGGATGACATGATCTCCTGCCTGAAGGCCTCACCAACTAGTGATCATGACAAATTATATATAGTAAGAATGCTGTATTAGGAATGCTTCCTTTAGGTCATGTAGCAGCCACTTTTTAAAACAAAAAGGTGTTTTTATGGTATTTGCGTTGTGAGCAGAGAGGCAAGAGCGTACCTAAAGTCATAAGGAGCAGATTGCAGAACCAGAAATGGGAATGTGCAGTCTGATGAGGGTTTTCGTGTGATTTTCTTTCTGAGAGATCTCCCAGGTCATCTGGTCCAACCCACATTGTCACTTTTGCAGTATTTCCCCAGACCAGCCTTCGTGTGCACACCTCTATTGATGGGCATCTCCTTCTATCTTTGAACAGTTAAAGGATGTTCATGTTACTTGGGTTTCTTCACTACTATGTGCCAGACACCGTGTTAGCTTTTTTGCAGTTATTGTTCCATAGAGTCCTAAAAAAAAAAAAAAAACCCAAAGACAACTTTTCACAGTGAATAATGTTTTTTCCATTTCACAGATAAAGCTACTAAGGCTCATAGAGGCCAGGTCACTTATAGTCATGTAACTAGTAAGTGGCAGAGCCAGACTTTGAAACCAGGTCTGTTGGATTTCAAAGATGGATTCTTCTACTGCATTCTGCTGCCTGTTAAGTATTCAGACAACTCTTTATATTGAGCTGGTCTTTCCCTGAATGGCAGGCAGTGTGATACAGTGGTTAAGTGGTGATATAGTGGTTAAGAACAGAAGCTCTGGAATCAGGCCTGAGCTCACTGCAACCACATTAGGCATCTCTTTCCTCATTTTACATATAGGGGAAACTGAGGGTCTAGGATAGTAAGTTATTTGCCTAAGGCTATACAGCCTTCAAAGCTATATATTCTTCCTGCCGCACCACTCCACCTCTCAAACAAGCTTGGCTGCATCTCTAAGGATTTAGCTAGCGATAAGGAAATATTTCCTGGCAGGTTGTGAGACAGTGAAACAACTCACTGAAGGGCACATGGCATCTCCTGGAAACTGGTAGACGTGGAAATGAGAAGAGGACTCTCACCTGTCATGAATGTTTAGAATCACTTCTTTTTAATATTGCTTCACTGAATCCCTCAGTATTTCTCAGACTGTCCCTGACCTCTGGTCTGGGTTAGGCACTGTACTAAGCACAGAGAATGTGAAGATGAAAGGCCACGTCCTTGCTGTGAAAGAACTCGCAGTCTGGTGAGGGAGCTGTGAGGGAGAGAGGAATCCAAATGTCTAATTGCTGTGTAGATAAATAAGCCAGTGGTGATTCTTACCCTAGCACCCAGCACGTAGTCTGTTTGTCTTGAGTAATATATGTGAGGTGCTGTGGAAACACAGAGGGGAGTGACTCTTGCACAGTTTGGAGGTGGGCTTGCAGAAGAAGGAAAATCAGATCTGAGTACTGAAGTTCTTGAACTGAAGTATTGAGTAGGAGTAGCGTAGAGGGCCAAGAGTATTCAGGCAGAGGGCGCAGCATGTGAAAGGCATGAAATAGCATGGTACATGCAGAGAATCATGGTTAATTCAGTAGGAAATCTTCATAGGTGGTGCCAGGGATATTCCTGGAAAGGTTGCCTGGAACTAGATCACAGAAGGTCTCGAGTAGATAGTGGGAACATTGATGAGTTTTAGGTGTGTGTAGAATTTATCATGGTTAAATTTACTTTTTAGAACAGTCACTCTGAGGAAGAGGCTGACTGAGGGATAAGAGGCAGGGAGGCTTGTTAGGAGGCTGTTGCAGTAGCGTTGGCTCAGCTATGGCTATGAGGAAGGAGAAGCGGGGTGGATTTTGGCAAAGGAGATACTGACATAAATGTGTTTGGTTTTCAGACTCTGAAATTTACCCATCTGATGATCACCTTGCCATCTTGCCAACATGCAAAAAGAATCCCGAAGATTGTCTGGGCCCAACATCAGCAGTTACTTATGTGAGTTCTAAGAGTCAGCCTTCCATTAAAGTCAGCATGATTGGGACTGCTCAGTCTGAGGACATCGATACCTCAAATGATACAGAATGCTTAAAACAGAAAATCCATGACTTGGAAACTGAGCTGGAAGGCTACCGGAATTTCATATTTCAGCTTCAAAAGCACTCCCAGTGCAGTGAGGCCATTATCACAGTTTTGTGTGGGACAGAAGGGGCCCAGGATGGCTTGGGCAAGCCCAAGGTCAGTACCGACGAAGAAGAAATGACCTTTTCAAGTTTGCGCCAAGTTCGATACGTGAAGCACATGAAACTCCTCCATCCGCTGGCCTCGGGGATGATTGATCGTGGGATGCTGGAGAGCCTCAAACAGCAGCTGGTGGAACGGGAATATAAGCTGCCAAAGGAGCAGAATTTGAACATGGAACTTTTCAGTGAAATCCATAACCTGCAGAATAAGTTCAGAGATCTCTCACCCTCCAGGTACATTCCACTTCTGCCTTCCCCCCCAGTCTAAGCCTGCAGTCCCCTGACACTGCCACTAGGCTGGAGCCCTTGAGCTAAAAGGGATGCTGCTCGGTGCTGGGGTCGAGTGTGTTCTGGGGAAGGCTTTGATGGTGGGGTTCAGGCAACCAAGTCCTGGGGGAAGTGGGACAGGAAGCCACAAAGAATAGGAATAGTGCCTGCACATACGAACATCAGCTATGAGTCTTGAGTCCTCCGAAATTGACAGGGCAGATTTTGCCCTCCCCAGGCTGGGGACTCAGGTTGGGGACACCAGTCATTTGGTGGGTGATAGTGCTGTTGCCGAACTGCAGTGTTTACTCCTGGACTCCATTATTGGCTTTGGTGTGCTGTGGAACTAAAACCGATGTTGCAGGTAGGGTGGGAGGAATGTAAATATTTTCCATGTCTTTACCCTATAAGGCCATCTCAGAGAAATAAGCTTGTGTTGAAAGAGAAGAGTTCTTAGGTCACGAAGGTAATTCTTTATGGGTATAGACATATACAGTTTTGCTCCATGAGAAATGGCAAAAATGAGATCATTTGTAAAGTTGACCTTTATTCGTCACTAATTTGAGACAAATACATTGTCTGAATTGTCAGGATCCAGAGAGAATTTTTCAAGATTTCCCAAGCAGCGAGATTGAAGGAAGCTTGTACTTATTGAAAGGCTGTTGTCTCAGGCCCCTGGTCAGTCACTTTTCTAACTTAATTCTCAAAATCGCCTGAGAAAGAGATGTTCTTAAGCTTGTTTTTATAGGTAAGGAAACAGCCTCAAAGAGGTTGCTGTGACTTGTCTGAGAACATTCACAAAGCTGGTCAGAGCTGTTGCCCATATTATCCCACTCCAATACCCATGTTCTTTCTCTTCCATTAAACTGGCTGCCACCTTTAATACCAGTGCCATGTGATCTGCATGTGCACATTCGGTGTCAAAGGTGATTGCCAGGCCCATGTATTGTCAGGAAAGGGGAAACAGTCGAACTGAAGCGTCAGCATCTGTGCTAAGCCATTCTTTGGAGCCAGGTTACTGTGGCCACGGTTTATACGAGCTGTCTTTCCCTTAATCTGTGGTTTTCTCAGTGGCTACTAATATTGTGGGCTCACATAGGAGAAGATGGCACATGGTAGTAAGGAGGTGATATTGCACAATAGAGCTTTGAAGTCAGAATTGTGTTTGAACGCTGAATTTTCACCACTTAACTAACTTTGCGATCAGTTTCCTCTTCTGTAAAAGGGGACATTTATACATTTGTTGGAAGATTGGGAGGATCAGATAACTTACATAAAATCCCAAATTCAGTGACTGACTGATAGGCCTTCACTAAATGGTAGTTAGGATCATGATTATTCCCTGACCTTTCAGTTGGAAGGAGAGAGTCCTATCTTTTTTTTCCTTGCTTTACACTCTCTTTTGTGTACTTCATGAGAATTTTTGATGGATTCCCTGACCCTTGGAGCACTTGTTTCTACAATTCAGAATAGTATTTTGGAAGAGTGTATGGAAACTAATTGTTTGCCTGAGTCCTTGTCAATCTGTACTTTAATTGGGGGCTTTATAAGGTTAAAAATGTTGCAGAAGAATCTTTGTTCCCGCATTTATTGGCTGTTTGAAATCGAAGAAGTGACCTTGTACAGTTTCAATTTTTCTAAAAGTATATATACTTGTACAGCTGCAGGCTTTTAAAAATTGTGCTCTGTCATTTTTCCAATTAGTGTTAAGGTCACAAAAATTCAATTCTGAAATGGTCCATGCATTTTTCTCCCCCTCCTTTTATCAGATACGATTCATTAGTTCAGTCCCAAGCCAGAGAGCTCTCCCTTCAACGGCAGCAGATTAAGGACAGCCTTGGCATCTGTGTCATTTACCGTCAACACATGAACACCATGATTAAGGCGTTTGAAGAGTTGCTGCAGGCCAGCGACGTGGATTACTGTGTGGCCCAGGGTTTCCAGGAGCAGCTAAATCAATGTGCTGAACTGCTGGAGAAATTGGAAAAGCTATTTCTCAACGGTAAGTGGGGTGAAGTATGCGAGTCTAAGACATCAGTAGTTGACCCAGGACTTCTTAGAGGAGCACAGGAGGAACTGACTCTTTGGCCTTGCTTATCTCCTGCCCCTCTGCCTTGATGAGGTGACAGAAGCACACTTGCTGCTTCTTCCTTCCAGTGACCACTTCCAAGTGGCTTGTGGCCTGCACTGTTCCAAACCAGGAGTCCGGGTTGGATGCCTCGGGTGCCTGGCTGGCGAGGTGCATGAGCGAAGTCAGTTGGAAGGTGCCCCTGAGCACTGGCCACACGGTTGCCTGTTCTCGCACATTTTCCAGAGAAGATGGAAATCAGTATTTTTCTTGGAAATTCGGGAGTTTTAAATGTTGGCAAGCAAAAAAACCCAGCCAACTGAACAAAGCTTTTATTAGTTAAAAAATATATGCAAGGGTTAGAGGTGGCCAGAGGAAGGATGAAGGAAAACCTTTGCTAAAACTTTGCCATGTGCTGGGTGCTTTAATAAATGTTACTGCATTAAAATTTTTTTAAATAATTTTTTTTGAAGACTACAGCTCCGAACTCCCGTTCACACCTCATCCAACTTCACCAGTTGTTAGCAATTTTGCCACATTTGTTCTATCATTCTCTTTCTCTGTACAGGCACATACGTGCACACATGCATATGCACACATTATTGTCTTGTGAAGCCTGTAAGAGTGGATTGACAGTATCATGTTCCTTTCCTCAGACCAAAGACATTCCCTTATATAACCACAGTACGATTATTAAAATTGTAAATGGTGTTGTCTAATGTACTATTATCTAATATATATTCTGTATTTGAATTTTTACCATTGATTCAATAATGTCTCTTATGACAATTTTATTCTGGATCCTGATGCCGATTGAGGGTCCAGTCCCCATGTTACATGTAGTTGTCGTGTCTCTGGTCCCCTTTATCCTGGAGTCGTTCCTCACCCTTTGTCTTCATGACATTAACATTCTCAAATAGTTCTGGTCAATTCCTCACTTTAGGATTACCTATTGTTTCTTTATGATTAGATTCATGATTAGATTAGATTGGTTATGCGGTTTTGGCAGGAATAATACATAAGTGATTTTTATTCTCATGGTATCATTACCTTAAGGAGGCACATGGTATCAATTTATCCCATTTTTGGCAATATTCACTTTGATCTCTTGGTTAACGTGATGTCCATCAAGGTTTCTCCGCTGTAAATTATATTTCCTTGTGTAATGAATAAGGAATTAATGGAGGATACTTCATAACTCTGTGAATATTCTGTTCCTCTTCGGCCTTTTGCCACGAGTTTTACCACCCATTGATGATTCTTGCCTGAGTCAAGTTTACTATGATGGTGGCAACATGGTGGTTTTTTTCCCTAATACCATCATTCCTTTTTCATTTATTATTAGATGGCATTTACTAGAAGGATGTATTCTCCGTTAAACTCCTTTTATTTATATATTGGTTATTTATTATCAGTGTGGATTTATAGATTCTTATTTTATTCAATGGACAGTTATCCATTCTGTCACCCATATTGTCCAGATTTGGTAAGTGGCATTTCCTTTCATATGTCTCCGTCTTTTGGGGAGCAAAGTCCTTATGGTCTAGCACACACAAAAAAGATGTTCCTTGCTCAACTTGTACTGTCCCTGCCCCTGAATCAACCATTTCTCCAAGTAGCCTTGGGTCCTTTTTGAGGGCTAAGTTTTTTCTATTTTTTGTATTTTTGTGAAGATGGGGTCTCGCTCTTGCTCAGACTGGTCTTGAACTCCTGGCCTCAAGCGATCCTCCTGCCTCAGCCTCCCAGAGTGTTAGGATTGCAGGCGTGAGCCACTGCGCCTGGCTCCCAAAATCATTATTTTTGTCCCTCTCCTTTATATCCAGTAATGTCACTTTCTAGTCCCCCTTTCCTAGACCATTGGGATTGGCTTCCAGTCACTGCAGCCTCTCCCCTGAGAGGGTTTGCTGACGTCACCAACAGCTTCCCCTTCGCCAAATCTAAGGATCCCCTTCGCCAAATCTAAGGATCCGTTCTCAGTCTTCATCTCGCTCAGATTACAGCAGTCTTTGACATGGTCAATCCCTTCCTCTTTGGGGAATTCCTTGCCCACTTGGCTTCGGGAGGACCCCACTCAGAGTTCAGTTCTCCTTTCCCCCTTTCCCTCTGGCCATCCCTGTGAGGCTCTGCCTTCATTGGTCATCCATCTCTGCCCAGTCCTCGTGGCCTCTGACCTTGTTGCTGCCACTGCCCCAGTTTGCCTGGATGCTGCAGGCCTCTCCTGCTCGGCCCCTGGGCCTCCACCCTTGTGCCATGACAGTGCATTTTCTACACAGTAGTCAGAGTGAGCTTTTAAAAATGTAAGTCAGATCATGTCCCTTCTCTGCCCCCAAATCAAAGCCTTTCCTTTTCCTCTGTGTAAAAGTCCAGATAAGGGCCTGCAAAGCCCTGTACTGTCATCCTGCCCCACTCTGGCCTCATCTCCTGCCACCCTGCCTCCCCTTCCTCCCCTTCCACAGCTACTGACTTTGCAGTTTTTCCATCATGCCCAGGCAGGCTGCTTCTTCAGGGCCCCTCTCCTCTCTGGTGTCCCTGGTTCCTTAGGCCTTTTCCCAAATGTTGTCTTATCAGTGGGGCCTTCTTTGACATCTGTATAAAATAGCAAGGCAGCCCTGCTCCACCCCTGGCATCCCTCTCCCCTTACCCCACTTTGCTTGCCTCTGCCCTCCTCATCGCCATCTTGCATGTTTAATGTGAACTCATTTGTCATTCTGCCTTCCCTGTTAGAAAGGAATCCCTGCAAGGGTGCAGGGACATTGTCTGTTGTGTTGTTGCTATAGTGCTAGGAAATAGACAACATCTGGCATATAGTAGATACTCAATACGTAGTTTTTCAGAGAATGAATAAGTGAGTGAGTGAGCGAATGAATCCTAGTTTAACAGTTGTAGAGAGTGTGGCGCAGAGAAAGTAAGCAACTCATCTGTGATTATTTATGGAGTGAATGGCAGAGTTGAAATTTCAAATTGGGTCTCTGGACAAAAACCTCTTTCCACTACTTGATTTACTTGTATTCTACTTGGTATCATATATGTTATTTGATTTAAACTTTGCAATGACCTTGGAAGCACTAGTTATTAACCTAGTTTTACAGATGGGACGTGGAACTATACCTTACGTATCTAAATAAGTGGGCCTTATTAGTGGTGAAGAATGCAATCACTGGTTTTAGGCTGGCCAGGTTAGAGCTCTGGCTCCCCACTTTTAACTGCACACTTTGGGAAACTTAACTCCTCGCCTCAGTTTCTTCACCTGTAAATTTAGCATTCTAATACCTAATTTACAGAGTCATCATTAAGGGTTAAATTAAATAATGGATGTGAAGCCTTCCTTGGCTCAATGCTTGGTGCATGGCATTTATGTACTGAGTATTTACTAGAATTTGTATTTATTGTGAGTTGGAGCTTAACCTTCAGAACATCCTGCATTGCAGGTGAGGAACTTATCCTTAACAAAGGTATGACGTTTGGAGTCCTTAACTGCCTTGGTGGAACCAGGATTTGCCTCTCGTTCCTCTGTCTTCGTATGTACAAAACAGGTGGTTTATGAGGGACCACATAATTCAGTTAATTCCAGGGTAGCACATGGGATAGTTTGCCCATCTGGGCTCAGTGAGTATTTTTTCCTGACTTTTCCAAAAGGCCCAACAGCTTAGATCTGTTGTAGACTAATTTTCCTAGTACCAGTTTCCCAGGACTTGTGAGGACCAGGGTATGGGAGCACTAGACTCTTTCCAGCTTTATAAAAATTAATTTTCTTCAGCTAAGGTTTTCTAAATAAGCTAATTTTAATTTTATTAGTAGAGAAATAACTGGGTCCCCATGATAAAGGTGAATCTTCCAGGCCCAAGGCATTTTCCATCTGCCTCTTCTTCCTGCAAGTCCTCACCCGAGGCCCTAGGAAGTGGGAGGCTGAGAGAGAGCGCCTCTGGCCCCAGCTGCCCTCCCTCCCTCACCTAGCCGCTCCCCTTGATTTATTTTTCAGTTATTTACCTTGGCAAGCCCAAGGAGATCTCACTTGTTTTCCTGTGGGTTCTGGAGGCAGAAGCATTTCAGGCTTAATAGACAACACAAACATAGAACTTTATTTTCTTCTATAAAAGGAATAAAAGTCCCAGGAACCTTACTATAGCTCCTTTTCTTGGAACATAAAATAGAACACAGAGGTGGGTCTTTCTTGGATGCCATGTAAGGGATCTGGCTCCTGAATTATGAAGTGAGCTTATTATAAAGTGTTTTTATATTTGAGGCAGTTGCATAGCATGAGTTCTTAAAAATTTAAATATAGCCTTTTTGTTATTACAAAACAATGCATGTTTAATGTGGAATAACAGATAAGCAAATACTCTTAAAATGCATCATTTGCACAGCAAAACACCCTGGAGTTTATATGCCCAGACCTATGTTATACCTATGTGTATTTTCTATGGAAATGGGACTGTTCGCAGCCTCTCCTTTTGTTCAGTTAATCATATACATTGAAAGTTCTAGTGGCTCTAGAACATTTGTTCATATAAATGTACCATAATTTATTTAATTATCCCCTATTAGATGGACATTTAGGTTGTTTGCAGTTTGGGGCTATTATAAAGAATACTGTATTAGAGCCTTTATACATATCCTTGCTATTTCTTTAATAATATTTGATGGGTAGGATCCAAGAAGTAGGATGCTAATGTGGTTTCTTAATGCTTATAAAGGGCCTCTTACTAAGCTTCATTAAACTGGGGATTCTGCTAGAGCTCTGGAACTCAGCAAGCTTTTGTAGGTTATGTACATTTTTCTGGAGTAAGAGTCTATAGCTTTTAGATTTGCAAAGAGGGCTGGGACACAGTAGATCAGGAACTGGTGTTGCAGCCAGGTTTTCCACTATATCCTTGTTCATAGTGCTTCCCAAGACCAGTTGCGTAAATAAGGAGGGCGATATTTTGTCTTCAGGTATTTTTGAGTAAGCTGTGTTGGGCACTGGGAAAGGTACTAAGAAGATGGTTCCTTTCTTCACAGAGCTTACTATGTGTGTCAGGGTTTAATCACATGAACAGAAGACAGCTGCTGGGATCCCTTGCCTTGGCGCTCCTTTGCTGATAGAGATGAACCTAAAACATTCATTTCTTTTAAGTGCCTTCTACAGTCTGCCTTCTCTAGCCCACTACCCTCTAATGATGATGGATGGTGATAATGGTGATGACGATGATGAAGGATAAACAATGAGGAAATGGGGAAGGCTGGTCTCTATTGAGTGTTTGCTATATGCCAGGTGCTGTTCTCAGCCTGTAAGGAAGTATTATTTATTATCCTCATTTAATACTTGAGGAACAGAGAGGTTAAGGCACTTGCTCTTGGTAGCACAAGAAGTAGCGACCAAGTCTGAATTCAGGCCCAGACAATTGACTTCCACGGCCCGTCCTTCTAACCACGATGCATTGTGCTTCTCACGCTGCTGTCAAATTGGGTGCACTGGTCAAATGTTTCTGTGGGCCAGGCCTTCTGTGTCCTCACTTTAGTGACTCTGTTCAAACCACCATCTTTCCGTGAGGCGTTTACTCCCTCTTCACTTAGAGAAATTCTGCCTATCCTCCAGAATGGTTTCTTTGTTCACCCCAAAGAGAAGCAAAATCTATTTCTTTTTTTTTTTTTTACTTCTAGGCTGTTTGTAGCTGACAGCTGACATTCACTTCTGACCTGTGATGGAGGCCTTGCCAGGGCTGTTGGGTTGGGAAGAGCAGGACCTTTGGAGTCAGACAGAATTGAGTTCAAATCCCATCTTTATGGGTCACTTACCCCTTTAAGGGTCAGATTTCTTCTGTGGGGATAGTAGCACCTGTCTTGCAGAGATGTTTGTAAGGATTAAATGAGATTATTTCAAGGATGTCCTGCTTGCCAAATAGTGGGAGCTCAGCAGGTAATACCAGTGATAATGGGGTGTGCAAGTTAAGGTTAGCCAGTGATCCAGCTTTCAGGTAAAATGGAGGGTTTCCTCCTAAGTATCCCTGGAATTGCCCTTCCTAGAGCCCCTTAGTTTCTTCGTAGCTTTATAAAGTTTTCTTCCTCAAAGATACAACTCCATTGCCACCTCCTCTAAATTTTCCCTGACAGTCCAGGCTGGATTTCGTTTGTCTCCTCTGTGTGCCCCTCGCCCCCCAGCAGATCCATGCTGCCCCATCACAGCACTACAGTTAACGGTCTTTGGGTCCACTATTCCACTCAAACGTGAACTCACTGAGGGCAGGATGGCTCCTCATTCATCTCTGTATCCTCAGTGTCTGGCGCAGGCACCTGGGAGGGGCACTGTAAATATATAGCACCAATTACTAGCAGTTACAGAAAGGAAGAAACATTTGGGTCGTGTAGGAGATTCCAGGCTATGGTATTTGAACTTAACTGTACTACTGATAGAGTTTGAGCTAGGGACTACTATTTCAAAAGAGGCTTCTTAATGGAAGTCTGTCCTGCATAACAACCCTCTTTTGCTTGTTCAGTTATAAGTAGGATAAGGAGATTTTTTTTTTTAATTTGAAAAGATGAAGTCCCCCCACTGCCTCACACTACACAGCTCTCAGGTGTAGCAATAAGATTTGCCTGAGAGATGGGAGCAGTGTTTTCATGACACGCATCCTAAGCTTTTGAAATGGCCCGACAGATGGTACCCTGTCACCTGTGCAAAGGCAGTTTCCACCAAGAAATTCAATGCATCAGTTGTTACGATCTCCCTATGAATCCTGCAATAACCATTTGTCATTTGGTTTTAAAGAACTCTGTTGTGATAGGGGAACGGGTAGAATGTGATTGTTGTTAAATTACTGCGAGCACCCCAAAGGGTCTGTTATCTGAATAAGGGGAAACCCATGCTGCTGGTGGCATCAGGGCACTTCCTTCTGTGGTCATGGGCTTTGTTAGGAATGGAGGAGAGGTTTTTGATGAGTTCATGGTTAGAAGACCTGGAATGCTTAAAGCCTGCCCCAAAGCAAGAGTACCCGCCCTGTGATGTTTCTGAGGGAGATGTACTCCTAAAGAACAATGTGATTGTGAAGCGGAGTGTCACGTTACTGTTTACCTGGCTAGTGCACGTGCAGTCCTCAGCTCTTTGGAAGGCTGGGCTGGAGCAGATGGCCCATCCTTAGGGTCTGTAGGGTCCAGGTCTTATCACAGCCGACTGTTGGTTAGCAGCCCTAGTGCAGGCGTGAGATGAAAAGTGCCGACTGAGCTGCTCTTTTAATGTACGGTTGTCCCCGCCTATTAGGGAGTCTTGCAAGCCACAGCTTCCACTCATGGTCTTGAAGTCTGACCCATCACATGTGGATTGTCCCCCCTTGAAGAGGAATGTAGAGGACAGAAAGGTGGAGACCTGGAGAGCACCCGCCGTGACAGAGGCCTGTCAACGTCTACCTCCCTTTCAAAAAACCAGAATATCACACCATTTCGGGCCAGGATGTAACCAAGAGGATCACGGCATAGATTTGTGATTTAGCTTCAGGATATCGCCATCTCTCTTACTTAACTATAAAATGCAGTAAAGTAAGAGACAGTGAACTGGGCAAAGTGAAAGAGTCGAAACATTAAACCTCCTCAATTTCTACTTCTTTGCTGTAAAAGGGAGATACTAACACTGTGCTTGTAGGATTGTTGTGGGGCCTAAAGGAGATAGTGGGTATGAAAGAACTATACTCAGGGCCTGGTGCCTGGTCAGTCAGGCCCCTTTGACTCATTCATGGTGGTGACAGTGCCCTGCAGTGGTAGATGACTTTCCATCACTTGGCTTGTAGCACTGACTGTCAATGCCCAGGTGGCCAGCCTGGTGGGGCGAGGGAGAGTCTGGATGGCCGTGCCAGCCGGCCTTGCGAGTTTGTAGGCGGAAACTGCTAGACATGAAGCAAATGTGCAAGGCTCCAATGATCTTTTCCTCTACACTGTGGTGTTTGAGAACTTTTCGTTTTCAGAGTAGTTTTGAAAATTGTATGTGTGGGTGAAGTTTAATTATAGTCTCATTTTTCAAGCACAGCTACAGAAGAGTTTGTTTTTTTCTTTAGCCATGCGTTAGTTTCTTCAAAGAGCACATCCCAGTCTGCAATTTCCAGGGTTCGGAAGTATTTTTAAAATAAAGTTGTTAGTCTCTTTGAAATCTCAGCTCATGTGCTTCCTTTCAAACAGCAAATGATGACATGCAGGAAGAGAGAAGAGCATCTTTTGCCCAACTACACTCTGAGCTTTATTTTGTTTTCTTTTGTCATTTCTTTTAGTCATTTCCCCTGCTGTAGACAACTGTCCTCATGTACTCCTTTCCTTAGTAATCCCACTTCTGAGAGTCTTCCTAAGGAAATAATTTAAATGCAGATAAAGTGGTGTGCACAAAGATGTTTATTTCATGTATTTATAAAAGTAAAAATTTGGAAATGACCTAAGCGTCAAACAGGGAACTGGCAAACACTGTGGTACATGCATGTTTACAATGGAATATTAGTGTAGGTATTAAAAACGATGTTTCTAAAGCAAATTTAGTAAGAGAAATGAAGTACTAAGTGAAAAAATTAAGTCACAGTACAGTATCATCTGTGCCAAAATGCATGGAAAGAACAATGGAAGGAACGTGTCTGCAGGGGGTACCGGGAGGATAGTGATCTTTTTTTATTCTGTTGCCATTTCCTATAATGAGCATATATTCTATTAGTATCACCATTTTGGAGAAGGAAAAAGAACCTGCACCAGCAATGCCTTTGTAATTGCTTTTTAGATTCAGTGCTGTCACCTAGAACTAGTGTCTGTGCAGCGATAAAGGAGGAGTCTGTGGTCTGAATTGTATTTCTGGTACTCCTACTTTAAATATCTGCGTGGCTATAAGGAGTGTTTGGAACACTCCTTATAGTAATGGAACAGTGCCTCTGCAAATGTATGAACAAGAAATCATTAGGGAACACTTAAAATTTTTTTTTCCTTCTCTCCTGTTATTATTTCTGCTTCCAGGAAAATCAGGTGGAGTAGAAATGAGCACCCAGAATGAACTGATAGAAAGGTGAGTATGTGGCATTTATTAAGAAGGGCTTTCTGGGACTTTCTAGGTTTGATTTGCCTGTCTGCTTTTTAAATATTTTGGCTCCCTCCCATTCTGTTAGCTTCCTGCTTCTTGTAAATATGGTATAAACATTTTGGAACTGATGGTGGCCATAAAAAAACAAGAGTTCACGCTGTGTGTCCTGTAGCCTTCATTCACTCGTTTCATTTCCATCAGGTGATTTGAACCAGATGATATATTACTTCTGTTGGCTCCCAGAAAACCTGCAGGACAAATTCCAGACTCCTTAACCTGGCATTTGAGGCCTTCCTCAGTCTGACTCACTTTTCCCTTCCCATCATGTCCCTCTTGGCTTGGTATAGTATTATTCTCCAGACCATGGCTGTGCACAAACTGCACACTCTACATTTTTCCTCTTGTTGTTTGAAAGTCTTCTTCAGAGTGAGTTCCAATGGAAATGAGCCCGGTTCTCCCCAATACGCTACGTCTCCACCACATCCCAGGATTCGTTATTCTTGCTGTAGCGTGTGGCACATAATTACATTACAGCACTTACTAATATCACGTGGTGTTGTAATGCTCTCTACATTTATCTTTGTATTCCTACTATTCCTCAAAAGAGGAAAGGAGCTAGCTAGCATTAGCTGGGTATTGGTGTGTGCCAGCAGCTGCCCTAGGCATTTCACATTTATTACTTCTCACCCTACAGGGTTATAAGTAACTATTTTAGGATGAGGAGACTGTGGGTCACAATTGCATACTTGCCATTAGAGGCAGAGCTGGGATTTGAACTTGAATCTGTTATACTCTAATGCACGTGCTCTTATTGTTATCCCATTTGTTTTGAGGGTCAAAGACTACGTCTCGAATATCTCTCTATCCATTCCAGCTCCAAGTATCAGGAATTTAGTTGGAGCTCAGAAAATGTTCACGGAATGAACATTCTTAGGTTCTTAGGTTGCCTTTATGGCCAACTGAAGATGCCAGGGTCTTGTCCTCCTCTGTTTACTGGTTATAGGTTCTGAATGCTTTTAATGCTGCTCGGTACTTTCCTCCTCTTTGGAGATGTGGCCCTTTGGGCTTCTGGGGATAAAATAAAGAAACAGAGACCAGTCTGGGGTGCAGAATTTGAGATTTTATTGGCATTGCAAACGCCATCAGCATCATTAGAGTGGGCAGGCAGGGGTATCACAGCTCACTGGAGGACATTTTAGTCAGGGCTTCTATAAATGTAAAAGAAACTTAAATTCCTCTCTCATTGCAATACTGTCAAAGATCCCCCCCAATTCAACTATCCATTTCCACCCTTATAATAACAGATCACATCCCCCTGGCTGGCTATGGAGAGGTCAAGGAAGGCTTCCCAGAGTGGGGACATTCTTAGCTGAGATTTAAAGGGTGGGAGTTGAAGGGTCCAGGGGTTCTTGGGAGAGTGTCCTTGCCTGAGACAGAGACATGGCCCCTTTGAGCAGCGTGGCTGGTGCATAGAGGGTCAAGGCTGGAGAGGCAGGCCAGGCACCACTGGGTTGGTCCTCAGATGCTGTGTTAAAAGTCCAGGAAGAGGGGAGTCTTTGAAAGAAGGTAAGCTAGGACTAGACATGATCAGATTTTCCATTTTGGAAGACTTCTGTGGTTGCTTAGAGAATGGGTTGGAGGGAGGCAGGAAACCTCTTTTAGCTCTCCTCAACCAATGTGTCACCCTTTCCATTTCTGACAGATTTGTTTCCTTTCCTTCAGTTCTGCCTTTTTCAGCTATAGGCTTAGCACTCACATGGGTCACTCCTAAGCTAATTAAATGGGTGCCCTTGGCCCATTCCGCGCTTTTGCAAGCCAGCAGCGAGCCTGTGCATCCATCACGCTGTCTGGGTGAAGTTGCATCTGGTGTTTACCTGTTAATGAATGCATTGCAGCTTTGGAGTCCTTTGCTCTTGTCTGAGATCATGAATAATGTGAATAATGAGACTGTGGCCACTGACAAGATGTAATAGGAAAAAGTGGCAGAAAAAAGCTTAAATTAAGGAGCTTATCTATAATGGAGATTCACATGGGTTTTCATAGCATTCAGTTTATTTTTTTCCAGGGTTTAGGTGCTCCTTGGGAAATACAGGTTAATAACCAGATGATTACCGCAATAATGATATTGGGACTTGTTTGGGGACGATGAGGGTTTTAAGATTTTTAAGTCCATAAGGCCACCTCATGGTTTTGGGCTGGGTTCCGTGTTCTCCTGGGGCCTTGGAGACAGATAGGCCTGGTTCAAATCTGAACCGTGCCACTTACAAGCTGTGAGACAGGGACAAGTTTATGATGAGCTTCGGTCTCTCTGGCTCTAAATGAGGATAGTGACCTCATGGGGTTCTGGGAGGCCGAGTTCGATCTCAAATGCCCGGTACAGAGTGGGCACCTGGTAAACAGCTGCCATTGAAGCAGACCTTCTCTCGGGGCCCCGCCCCTATAAGCCGGACTGTGGGACAGGCACAACCCCCCAGTCCCCTTCATTGGCTCCCAACTCAAGCCCACTGAGCCCTTTTTGTTTTTAGAATGTCATTGCTTAATGCTATAGAGAAACACAAGGGCTGACTGAAGTTGCAAGCATGGGGAAGTTACAAAAGGTGAAGTAATCTTAAGTGTTCTTAAGTCATGGTCCTGGCTTAGGATTTTAGCATGGGAAATGATTTATCTTTCGATCCCAATGGTTAAGGATTGAGGAAGACAACTTAACCTACCAACATATTCTACCCGAATCTCCTGAGCCTTCAGCCACTCACGCATTGTCTGATTATGAAACATCTGAAAAGTCCTTCTTCTCACGAGAGCAGAAGCAAGATAGTGAGACCGAGAAGACTTCAGTTGTGGCGAATAAGTTTTCTCAAGGTAAGCTGAGCTTTAAGCTTTACTAAGCATTTTATACATGGCCCAATTTAAACAACAGTTTGCTCTCTTGCCTTAGGAAGCGGAGTGTGGTGACAATCGAATATTTCTCTGATGAAAAGAGATCTCATTAGGGCCAAAACTGGTCATTCAGAGTATTGTTTATCACTAGAGAAAGCTGTGGTTGTTGAAAGTGTTGGCGATTGGGGAGAAGCTATTTTTATTTTAAAAATGACCACTTAATTATACGACTTGCCATTTCCTGCAGGCTGTGTGTCACTGGGGTTGTGTGTCAGTGCAAGTTAGGTTTAAATTGCCTATTGTTTCTTTCAAACTCAATCCTGAGGCAGGGCCACTTCAAAGACTCTTCTGCTTTGAGTTGTACAGAGGCCTAAGAGTACCTAACCCCCTGTTCTGATATTTTTGTGTAAGTACAAAATTTGTGATTGCGTAAGTCTGCTTTGTTTCCCTTTAATGTGACCCCTGGCCCATTGTGTCAGGCCTTTTGTCTTAGTCCATTTGGGCTGCTACAACAGAATGCCATGGAAATGGGTGGCTTATAAATCACAGAAATTTATTTCTTACAGTTCTGGAAGCTGGGAAGTTCAGGATCAGGGTACTGGCCAGCAAGGTTGGCTCTGGTGAGGGCCCTCTTCTCAGCTGCAGACTGCTGTTTTCTCATTGTATCCTCACATGGAGGAAGGAAGGCGGGAGAGCTCTCTGGGGTCTGTTTTATAAGGGTTCTGCTCTCATTCATGAGGGTTCTACCCTCATGACCTAATCACCTCCCAAAGACCCCACCTCCTAACACTATCACACTGGGGCTTTAGGGCTTCAACATATGAATTTTGGAGACACAAACATTTGGTCCGTAACACCTTTGTTCTGCCTCTGACCATGGACTGAGTTGGTAGAATCATCCTCTCAAGGAACCTGCTCCTGATCTCCCCTTCACCTTTACTGTACTTACAGTCTTGATTCCTCCTTTTGGGGTAATGTATAGGGCTTAGTGTTTGTAATTCAGTGTATTTCAAAGGTTCAAGGGATTGTGTAGACCAGACCATACAGACCAGGGATCAGCAAACTTCTCCTATAGAGGGAACAGATGGTAGATATTTCAGGCTTTGCAGGGTACGTGGTCTTTGCTGCAATTACTCAACTCTGCTGTTGCAGCACAAAAGCAGCCATAGACAGTGTAAATGAATGGGCATGGCCATGTTCCAATAAAATTTTATTTACAAAAAGACACTAGTACCTCCTTGTTAAAAGCTCTTTGTTGATACTTGATCACATAGATCATTGTTTTAAAAAAATTTGAAATCTTTTTTTAGCAACAGAACTCCCTTTCTTAGATGAAAATTGACACAGAGGCCCCGTGCAAAATGTAAAAGAGATACGAGTGGGGCCTTTGTCCCCATGGTGGCCTCTGAGGCTCCTCTAGGACACTCATGGCCCAGAAGAGCACTGTTTGAAAACATCCCTAGAGCATGAAGTGTACATTCTAGGTGCAACTCAGCTATCAGCTGGGGTTCTCCAGCAGCCAGTCACCTAGACCTGGTTTCTTTGAGTTTTTGGCTGTATCCCTCTGCAATTTTTGTGGGTTTCTGAGCACTTGATTTTTCTCAGTCATTTATGGTTCTACATTCTGCCTTCCCTTAATTTAGGTCAGACTGCAAATTGTTTCCCTGTCCCTAGCACCAGCTCCTGCTTGATTGTATCAGTCCAGTCTGAAACTCAGTCCCTTTCCAAGATCCCCCAGAGGACCACTCCCACAAGGCCTTTGTGGGTAGAGGTGATTGAGAGTTTGAGGAACCAGCAGGATGGTAGTAGTTACGATGCAGCAGCCCAAATGATTTAAACAGGAATGTTTGAGATCCCTATTCTTAATCCTCTGCTTCCTTTTGCCTGCCCCTCTGATTCTACCCTTCACCCTGTCTGCCACCCAACCTTGTTTTATTTATAATGTAGAAGCCTTTAGACATTGCTGGCATTATTCCTCTGGGGATCCATGACCTGGGGCTTATTATGCTCCTAGTAGATTACCTGAACAGGGACAGTGCTCTTTGGAGCACCCCTAATACGCCCATTGCTGTCTTTTTTCATTTGTTTCTCTTCAGCCTTTGTTCTCTGCATGTGGTTTTTCTTTTGTCATGTTAATAGTCTGTGTAGAGAGATAATTTAGTATTTTTCCTTTTCGCACTTAACGTTATACCATAAGCCTTCTGACATGTTGTTACATAACATCATTTTTAGTGGATTTAGAGTAGTTCATTGAATGGCTGAACTACTGTGTTCCCTGTTTTCCCCTGTTGCTGAACATTTGAGTCATTTCAGATTTCACAATTGTGCACAATGCTGCAGGGAATATCTTTGAACGTGAAGCCTTTTGCCTATTTGGGGGCATTTTCTTAACATAGATTCTGTAAGTTGGAACTACTAGGCAAAAGGTACATACTTTTTTGGGGGGTTGCTTTTTATAGGATTTATGGTTTTAAAGAGTTAGCATTTGTCAGGAGGGTAGTATTGTAAGAGACACATATTTTTCTCCTATTTTATAAAGGCCAGTGTAGTGTTTCCTTCTCCTTGGTATGGCTGCATAATTAATAAGTGGTGTCCAATTCAACTGTGAATATTTCCTTAAGCCCAAGTGATGGTTCCAGCTCCTGGCCAAAGACTCAGTGGAAACTGGCTTATATTGATGACTACTGAGCATTTGGTACCCCCAAACCAGCAGTGTGTGACTTGAAAAGACCAGCAAGGAAGGTACAGTCAAAACAGATAAGTTCCTGACTGACTCTGACCTGACTAGCCGCTGGAAGAAGATTTGCAGGGCAGCAAGGCAGGAACGGGAGGTACAGTGCCATGATGAGCCAAGAGTTTATTGCAGACGGAGTCCTTCAGAGCTGTGTTGCAGCAAGAGCTGCAGACATTCCACCAAATTACTTGCCACACTTCTGGCATTAATAGGAGATAGCTGAAGGTCTGGGAATTAAGTCATCTCATAAACATTCAAATTCATGGCAAAATTACTATTTAATTAGGAAAAGATCTGTAACATTGTGCTACTTTTAAATGAAAGTCATTTTGGAGGAATTAAAGCTGGGTCATAACATTAGTATAATGTTTTAAAACAAACATTACTAAGACATACTGAGTATACCCTAATTGATGAATTAAAGACATTAGTTTTGCCTTTGGATACTTAATGTGATTATGCTTTAAACACTGACTCTAGAAACCTACCTCTAGATTGGAATCGTGCTTCCTTCTTTCTTTGTTAAAGCGAGATGTGGCAAAGGCTGAAAAAATACATTCATTTTAGAAAATTTAGAAAATTTAAAATTGTGT